ATTTATACGACAGAATAAGGTTGGGCAGTGGTGGCATACACCTTTAATCCCAGCAATTGGGAGGCAGAGGCAAACAGTCTCTGTGAGGTTTTGTTTTTTTCTTTCTTTCTTTCTTTTTTTTTTTTTTTTTTTTTTTTTTTTTTTTTTTTTTTTTAGGTTTTCAAAACAGCGTTTCTTTGTGGCTTTGGAGGCTGTCCTGGAACTAGCTCTTATAGATCTCGAACTCACAGAGATCCACCTGCCTCCCAAGTGCTGGGATTAAAGGCATCCACCACCAACACCCAGCTCTCTGTGAGTTCGAAGCCAGCCTGGTTTGCAGAACCAGTGCCAGGACAGTTAGGATTGTTACACAGAAAAAAAAGGGGGGGAAAGAATGAATAAAACTCCATGTGTGTGATTTATTTGGGAGCTGGGTGGCAGCCCCCCCTCCAAAAGGGCAAAGGGCTCTCAAAAGGCCAAAGGAGTAAAAGTAAAGAAAATTCAACTACACCTGGCCCAAAACCTAAGGAGATTTGACTACACACCAGGAGGAACCTCTCTCCCCTTCACACATTCCCTGGGGCAACAATTTTTATTCTTTTAGACGGTTTCTTTTTTTTTTTTTTTTTTTTCCAAGACAGGGTTTCTCTGTGGCTTTGGAGGCTGTCCTGGAACTAGTTCTTGTAGACCAGGCTGGTCTCGAACTCACAGAGATCCGCCTGCCTCTGTCTCCCAAGTGCTGGGATTAAAGGCCTGAAACTCATTGTGTAGCTGAGAATGGCCTTGAATTTCTCATTCTGTCTCCATTTGGCAAGGATTTAGAGGTGTGGACCCTCACACCCAGTTTGTACAGTGCTGATGATGGAATCCAAGGTTCTGTGTATGCTAAGCAACAACTCTACCCACTGAGCCACACCCCCGGCCCTACAAATCACTTCTGATCAGGTGACATAGAGATCATAGAGATCATAGATAATTTTGAAGTCTGGGGTGAGCATGGCCCTGTTTGAAAACGCAGTGGCACTGATGTGGGATAGCACTCTGCCAAACGGTGTAGGAAATGACCAGAAATGCTTCATAGGCTTCATGGCCATTGTGAGCCAGACAGTCTCAGCTTCAATGCCTGGCCTTGCATTCACTATGAGTGAATCAAGGTCACTCATACACATCAAACAAAAGTAAATTTACAAAAGAAAAAAAAGATTATAGGCAGCTGGGCAATGGTGGTGCACACCTTCAATCACAGCACTCAGCAGGCAGAAGCAGGTGAATCCCTGATTCAACAAAGCCTGATCTATTGAACGAGTTTCAAGATGGCCAGTGCTAACACAGAGAAACCCTGCCTCAAAAAACCAAAACCAAACAAAAACAAAAACTAAGCTGCAGCCTGAACCCTCTCAGTCCCCAACCTTCCTAGTCTGGTGGAGGATAGTTGAATCAAGGTCTCACTGGACAACCTAGCCTGACCTCGGCTTCCGATGTGGTGTGTACCACTATAGTGTCTTTGTCCCCCTTTCCTGGGGGCTGAACTTACAGCCTCATGCTTGTTTTCTATTACTCTGCCATTGAGCTATATTGCCAAATTCCCAACCCCTTTTAGAGTCAGGATCTTGCTAAAGTTTTTCACATCAACCTTGAACTCACTATGGAGCTCAGGAAGCCTTCAACTTGGCTCCTCCTCCCTTAGCTGCCAATGGATTGCATCTGCCAGTAGGTCCTGCTAAGATCTACTTTTTATTTATTTTTTAAACTTATTTACTTATTATGTATAGGGTGTTTTACCTACATGTATGCCTATACTGTATGCCAGAAGAGGGTACTAGATCTCATTATATGTGATCGTGAGTCACCATGTGGTTGCTGGGAATTGAACTCAGAACCTCTGGAAAACCATCCAGTGCTGTTAACGTCTGAGCCATCTTTCCAGACCTACTTTTTTTTTTTTAATGTGTGTGGTATGTGTGATACATGCACATGAAAGCCTGGATACATGTTTCCTTATGTAGGCCACAGCAGGGTATTGGGTATCTTTTCCTATTAATTTTCACCTCCAGGCTTTCTCTTTGAACTTGAAAGAATTTCAAGGTTTTGGCTAGGTTAGCTGGCTATTGACCTCTTGGGAACCATCTGTCTCTGCCCCAGAATGCTGAGATAACAGGCACACTCAGCTATGCCCATCGATTTACTTAGATGCTGGGGATCTGAACTCAGGTCCACATGCACCATATGTTAGCCAGGGTTGCCTAGAGGAAAAGAACCAATAGAATGATTGTTTTTCTTTTTTCTTTTTCTTTTTTGTTTTTGTTTTTCGAGATAGGGTTTCTCTGTGGCTTTGGAGACCATCCTGGAACTAGCTCTTGTAGACCAGGCTTGTCTCGAACTCATAGAGATCCACCTGCCTCTGCCTCCTGAGTTCTGGGATTAAAGGCATGCACCACCAATGCCCGGCTAGAATGAATGTTAAAAGGAGATTTTGTACATTGGTGGCTTACACTTACGGTCTGAGTAATCCAACAATGGCTGTGCCCATACTGGAAATGCTGAGAATCCCGGAGCTACTCTATCCATGAGGCTGGATGCCTCAGTAGTCCAAACTTGGTGTTAAAAGCTTGGAGGATTCCTGGAGAGCCACTGGTTTTCACTCCACACTGAAAACTTAAAGAAGCCGAGCTCTGATGTTAGTGAAGGAATGAACACTTTGGTCCCAGACAAATGAGGCAAAAAGTGAAGCTTTTCCCTGTCACACCTCCTGTTATCTGATCTGCAACAGAAGACTCTACTTCCCACCTCAGCCTGCCTTATCACACAGTCCCTCACAAGGGTGCTGATCAGTTTATCTCTTAGCTGACTACAGATCAGTTGACAACTGGGATTAACAATTACAGAGGAAGTGTTCTTATCCATTGAGCCATCTTCCAAGCTCCCTTTTCTCTCCTTTGAAATTGTTGTTTGCTTTTTGCTTTGCTAGGGATGAAACTCAGTGCTAGGCCAGCTAAAAGTCCAGCTTCCATGTCAGTATTTTTGTTTGTTTTTTTGAGACAGGGTTTCTCTGTGGCTTTGGAGGCTGCCCTGGAACTAGCTCTTGTAGACCAGGTTGGTCTCGAACTTAGAGATCCGCCTGCCTCTGCCTCCCCAGTGCTGGGACTAAAGCCCTGCCTGGCTGCCATGTCAGTATTTTAAGGATATGTTTATTTTATGATATTAAATTTGCATATATATACATCCACCATATGCATGCCTAATCCCCTTGAAAGTCAGAAGGCAATGGGACCCCTGGAGCTGAAGTCGAAAATGGTTGTGAATGCCAGGAACTGAACCTGAGTCTTCTGCAAGAGCAGCAAATGCTCTTAACCGCTGAGTCATCTCTCCAGGCCCCAGGTCAGAATTATAAAAGCACTTTAAAGGCTTAGAAAATGTGGCTGTCATAACAATGTCCTCCAGTGCCTAGACAGTTATTTAATAGAAAAGGCCAGCTGAACACATCAAAAAAATATTAGAGCTGGGCCATCGTGGTGCAGAGGCAGGCAGATCTACATGAGTTTGAGGCTAGCTTGGTCTACAGAGTTAGTTCCAGCACATCCAGCGATACATAGAGAAAACCTCTGGAAGAGTAGTCAGTGCTCTTAACCTCTGAGCCTCTGAGCCACCTCTCCAGTCCTGTGAGTACTGCTCTTGCAGAGGACTTGACTTTAGTTCCTAGAGTCTACCTCAGATGACTCACAACTGCCTGTAACTCTAGTTCTGGGAGATCCAATGCCTTAGACCTCTATGGGCTTCTGCACTCATGCACTTACACACATACACACACACACACACACACACACACACACACACACACACAGAGAGACATACACATAATTGAAAATAAAACAATAGTTTAAAGGATTTATTCATTTTATTTTATGTGTATGAGTGCTTTGTCTGCATGTATGTATGTGTACCATGTGTGTGTGTGATACCTTTGGAGTCAAAAGAGGGTGTCAGAGCCACTAGAATTGAAGTTACAACAGTTATGAGCCATTCTGTGGGTTCTAGGAAATGAAAGGATGTTTGCAAAGGCAGTAGGTGCTAAGCCTTAGCCAATGAACCATCTCTCCAGCCCCTCAGGAAAAAAATGTCATTGAGTCCACAGACAGAATGCTCCTAACACTTTATCTACCTTTAGCAAATTCTAGGATGTCCTCTGCTTCAAGGTCTCAAAACAGTAGCAAAAACAGAAAAGCCTGGCCTGGCAGTGGTGGCGCACACTTTCAATACCAGTACTCCCAAGGCAGAGATGGGTGGATCTCTGTGAGTTCCAGACCAGCCTGGTCTATAAGAGCTAGTTCCAGGACAGCCTCCAAAGCCACAGAGATACCCTGTCTCAAAAAACAAAAACAAAAACAGAAAAGCCCAATATTTTGTAATTAAAACAGAAATACAAACAAAATAAGACTTAGAAGAGCTGGGTGGTGGTGTCACACACCTTCAATCCCAGCACTTGGGAAGCAGAAGCAGGTGAATCTCTGTGAGTTCGAGGCCAGCCTGGTATACAGATCAAGTGCCAGGACAGACTCCAAAGCTACCCAGAGAAATTCTGTCTCAAAAAAGGCCTGTTCTTTTCCTCCTTGAAGCTTTAGACCAGTTGTTCTCAACCTGTGGGTCGTGACCCTATAGGGTCTCATATCAAATATTCACATTATGATTCATATCTGTAGCAGAATTACAAATATGAAGTAATTAGCAATGAACATAATTTTATGGTTGGGGGTTACCACAACAGGGAGAACTGGTCTTTTTTGGTTTTTCTTTTTTGGTTTTTCAAGACAGAGTTCTCTATGTAACCTTGACTGTCTTAGAGCTTGATTTGGTTTTTTAATTTATTTTATATGCATTAGTGTTTTTCCTGCATGTATGTCTGTATGAGGGTGTTGGATACCCTGGAACTGGAACTACAGACAGTTGTAAGCTGCCTTTAATCCTAGCACTTGGGAGGCAGAGGCAGGCGGATCTTTATGAGTTCGAGGCCAGCCTAGTCTACAGAGTGAGTTCCAGGACAGCCTCCAAAACAATACAGAGAAACCCTGTCTCGAAAAACAAAACCAAAAACATAAAGCAAAAACAAGCAAACAAACAAAAAAAGAAATCCGGATGCACTGTTTCATTCAATTCTTAAGAGAATCCCAGGAAATAGGATGAAGAAAGTGAGCTAATTACTTAAGTGGAGGACTTAGCTGAAGGTACAGCCTTGGTAGATAAAAGCTCATAGTTGAGGATAGTGCTGGGTACAAGCTCCTGTAGCCAGTCCCATACAGTCGCTAACAGAATTGAGTGTCACTAGTGGAGGATCCCTACTCTAGAGGTAATGCAAGCTTTTGTGCTAGAGTGAGCATCTGATGCCCACATCAGTGCAATCACCTGCTTGGAGAACCTTTCAGGCATCAGTTAGGAGCTGGCTCAAGCTAAGGAGAGGCCAGCCTGGGATCTTGCTGGAAGCCATTGAAATCTGCAGACCTGTAATATCATGGCCTCCCCTTTGGAAGAGCTAGCTTGACAGCTAACACAGAAGCTAGTAGCCCTTCTCTGGCTTGCACAATTAGAAAATCCTTAGGTAAGAAGTCTTTTAACTGAGACCTAATCTCTTGTCCTCTCCCCAGACTGTTCCAGTAGAGACTCTAGTGGAGTGGTAGCTTCACAGCTGGGACAAGGACTTTCTCCCAGGCTTTGGTGGGGGTCAGCAGCCTAGCATCCTTCTTCTAAAGCACTTCCGGTGCTCTGTTAACCTTCACAGCTGGCATCATTTGCAGAAGCTCTTGCTCCTCTTGGAGTTCAGCTTCCAGATGTGAGATCCAAGGCAGTGGACAGCACAAGTCCCTGACAGAGTCAGTCAGCCACATTCCAAAGGTGCAAGGGCAGAGGACACACCCGAGGCAGACTGGGGCTGCAGTCTTCCTTTATAAACCCTGCAGCCTCACTCCTCTCCCTCTTGCCTCTTCTCAGCCAGACCAGGCTTTGGGTTTGCACTCTGCTGGCACTGGAACACACAGAAAGCCACTGATCCGAGACTCCTTGATCTACTTGTATAACCCACTTCCAACACTGTCAAATACATGAGCTTGAAGTTTTTTTTTCAGCACATACTAACTGAGCACCTTCTATGTGGAGAACAAAATAAAGTTGTGTGATGTATAATGTGGGTAGTGGAAACTGAAATCGGGTCCTCTGCAAAAGCAGTATGTGTTCTTAACCACTGAGTTACCTCATCAACTCATACAGATCTAATTTTAAGATTTATATATTTTCTCTAGAGTGCTTTATCTGCATATGCATCTGCACACCAGAAGGGGGCATCAGATCCCATTTAAATGGTTGTGAGTCACTGTGTGGGTGCTTGAAATTGAACTCAGGACCTCTAGAAATGCAGCTAGGACACTTTTTTTGTTTTTGTTTTGGGGGATAGGGTTTCTCTCTGTAGCTCAGGCCATATGAAACTCGTCTGTAGACCAGGCTGACCTTGAACTCAGAGAGCACCTGCCTCTGCTGGGATTAAAAGTGTTCACCATTTCTGACAACCCTGGCTCTTAACCACTGAGTCATCTCACCAGCCTCCTGTCTCGAAAAACAAAAAACAGACAAAAAAAACTCACAGAGATCTGCCTGCCTCTGCCTCCTGAGTGCTGGGAATATTTATTTTTATATGTATGGATGTTTTGCCTGCATGTGTGTGGCTACTCGCACAATGTGAACAGAGAGGTGAAGAAGACTCTTGGAGGACATGAGGGATGATGTACCTAGGGACTGTTTCCGTGTGTGTGTGTGTGTGTGTGTGTGTGTGTGTGTGTGTGTATGTGAGGCCAGAGGTCAACCTCATGTGTTCTTCAGGTATCGTCTACATCTACCTCATTTTATTTCACACATGTATTTATCACATATATGGGGTGCATGGGTGCATGCTATTCCATGGGTACATAGATCAGAGTGTGGGACTTAGTTCTCTCCTTCTACCATCTAGGTTCCAGATATTAAACCCAGGTCTTCTGGCTCGGCAGCAAGCACCCATCTCAATTTTCTGAGTTTTTTTTTGTAGTTTTTTTTAATTTTCTGAGTTTTTTAATATCATGGAGCTTGCCTAGCCAGCAAGCCCCTGGGATTTGTCTGTCTTACCTCCCCACTGCATATTTCAAGGACTACCATTTTTCTGATTGATTCTCTCCCCAACCCTCCTACGGCTTATCCCATTCTCTCCAAGGAGTCCATGACTCCTCTGTGTAGCCTTAAACTTCTCAGTGGCTATGAAAGGGATCTCTGCCTCATTCATTTCTAGCATTACATTTTTAAAAAATTTTAAGCCAGGCAGTGGTGATGTAAGCTTTTAATTCCAGCATTTGGGAAGCAGAGGCTGGTGGATCTCTGAGTTCGAGACCAGCCTGGTCTGCAGAGTGAGTTCCAGGACAGCCAGGGCTACACAGAGGAACCCTGCTTTGAAAAACAATAATAAAAAATTCTTTATTTATTTTTATTTTTATGTATATGTATATCTGTGCACTACATGCCTGCCTGGTGTACTCAGAAACCAGAAGGTGTTAGATTCCCTGAAATTGGAATTGCAGATAGCTGTGAGCTGCCACATAGGTGCCAAGAACCATCCATGTGGGTGAAGTTCCTATGAAGAGCAGCCAAAACTCTTAACCACTTAGCCACCCCTCTAGCTCCTAGTATCCCATTCATTCCTTCCTCCTCCTCCTCTTCCTCCTCCCTCCTCCTCCTCCTCCTCCTTCTTCTGAGACAGGGTTTCTGGCTGTCCTGAAACACACTTTGTAGACTAGGTTGCCCTTGAGGTTAGTTGGTTTTTTGAAACAGGGTGTTTTTCGCTTTTTTTGTTTGCTTGTTTTTGTTATTTTGTTTTGTTTTTTTGTTTGTTTTTTGTTGTTTCCCTAGACAGGGTTTCTCTGTGTGGGCTGGCCATCCTGGAACTCAATCTGTAGAGCAGGCTGGCCTTGAACTCAGAGATCCACCTGCCTCTGCCTCTGCCTCCCTAGTGCTGGGATTAAAGATGCGTGCCACCACTTCCCAGCATGCCTCATATCCCATTCTTGATGCCTACCTGGTCAGTGACAAAATACAGTGGCTCCAGTAGTTCAATCTGGGTAACAGAAAGTATCCCAAGAACCCAATGTGCCCAGCTAAGATGGAGTTCCAGACCTAACTTGACTAAGATGACACTACCAGCTGCCCTCTAAGGGGCTTCTGGCCCCACCTACAGCTGTGCCACCCTAAGAAAGGTTGGCTGACTCATTCAGACACAAAAGTCTGGGGACAAGGATCAGGAACTGAGAATAGAAAGTGTCCTCTTCCCCTTGGTCATTGTGCCCCATCTATCATCTGGTCTACCCCTAGTGTGTTTTTGAGGAAGTTTATTTTTTCTTTAAGTAAAATATCCTACTTATGCTCTAGTATCAAATTTGGACTTGAATACCATCCCTGTCTCTTTAATAGTTGTGTACTCTTGGGAGAATCGTATACCATCACAGAGTCTCCGTATCAAATGGGCTGAGAAGGAGTTCCATTACGGCCCTTTTCCACCAGTATCCAAGTTTTCTTAGAGACACCAGGCAATGGTGTGTGTGTGTGTCAGCCAAGCTCCTCAAATGGAGGGCTAGGCTGGATTCCTAACTCAGCCAGGGTAGACAGTGGCACCAAGCTGGGGAAGGGGTGAGCTAGACAAGGCTCTAGAAAGGGCACAGCAGGAAGGTGCTTCTTCCTCACTCCCACTGTGAGGGGCCATCAGCAATGCCACTTTCCCACATCCCATGGACAGCTAGCACGGCCTCTTAGGTTCTGTAAGTGATTTAATCTCTCCAGGCTGTGAGGGACACCTGGGTGATCCCACCAGTTCTTCTGTTGCTGGCGGAAGACACAGCCTGCCTGGCTGACATTGCCTTTGTCATGCTTCCAAGCATTCAGCCATACAGGCTCTTCAACACCCTCTACCCTCACCTCCTCTACCCACCCTTCCCTACCCCCATCCTTCTGCCCTCCCAGCTACTTGTACCTGACTGCATAGCCTGGAGAGGTGACAAGTGCTTTCAAGACAATAAAAGCATCTCTCAGAAGACTACATCCATGATGGCTTAGCACACCTGTGTTCTACTTAGGGTGCTCATTCCAGCTGGCTGGTTCATAGAAACAAAGGCCCTGCCTGCCCATCCTTCATCTCTGGAGGCAGTCTTGGTCCCCAATCCTAGCAATGAGGGTGGAAAAGGGAGGACCAGCCCTGAGGATCTCTCTGCTCAAGGTCATCCATAGCTGGCCTTCACATAAGTTTCAGGCAGTGAGACAGCCATCAGTCTCAGTTCCCCAGTGTCTGTCTGGCAAGCAGGATGACCTTGGGCAAGTATTTTAACCTCCCTGAGCTTGATTTCCTCCAAATAACAGGAGACCACCCACTTCCAGCTGTCCTGATGAATTAAAAAAATAAAAACACATAAAACACTTAACATGTCACCTGCTAAAAACTATGAGCCATTATCATTGTAATTCCATTCTTTTTCTCCTCTAGTCACACTGGACAGCATCCTCGACCAAATGCATTCAGATGGTATGCTCCTCTGCTTCCTTCGGGTTTTTTTGAGACAGGATTTTATGTAGCCCATCTTGCCCTCAAAATCGCTATGTAGCTGAGACAGACCTTAAATCCTGATGTTTCTGCCACCACCTTCTAGAGTGACAGGATTACTGGTATGCATGGCCAAGCCCGGTTTTATGTGGTGTTGGGCAGTACTTTACCACTGAACTACATCTCTAAGTCCCTTCCTTCGGGTCTTAAGTCACCTTCTCGGCTACTGTCTCCCGTTTGTCCTCTCTTTGTATTCATCAGACAGCCTACTGGTTCGATTTTGTTGGGTGTTTCGCAGCCACTGGCATCAAAGCTCCAGGAAGACAGGGCTGTTCCACTTTTTGTGCTGGTGCCGGAATGAAGGAATGCTCACAGCCTCTCCTACAAGCCTGATTCTGGAGAGTTGCAGGGAACCACGGACAGCGGGACAAAGCTCCGCCACACCTACAGGCAGCCGCGAGCTCCTCCCTGCGCCAGGCAGGGGAGCACACCCTCGAGGTCACCTCTCGGGCGCGACGGGCCGGAAGGAGGCCCCGCACAGCAGGAGGGGCGGGGCGCCCAGGGCTAGCCACGCCTCCAGCCGCACGACTCCCGCGGTTTAGGCAAGAGTCTGCAGGGCTGGGGTCCCTTCGCACTTCCGCCCCCTGTCGCCTTATTCATATTCATGAGGTGGGCGGGATCTAGCTCACCCGCAGCGCCCCCACCCTCAGCCTGGGATCCCGCCCCGGCGGAGGCTCAGGCCCCAGTGGGGCGCCCCCGGCTTCCGCTTTGGGGAGGGAGTTTCCACTTGGTCACGACTCAAAAATGTGTCGCGGCCGCTCCTCCGTCGGTCGTTCCTGCCCCAGGGTGTGTCTGTGGGGTCTCCTCCCTGCGAGGGAAGGAGCAAAGAGGCCAGGGAAAGGACTGTTCCTCTCCCCTGGGAAAGGTCGGTAGAAATGCGGGGAGAGCCGCTGCTAGCTCCCTTTTGGTGCCTGTAATTAGCTTTCTTCTTTTTTCAGGGATGGGTTTCAAACCCAGTACCTCAAGCATGCTAGGCAAGCATTCTACAACTGAGCTTGACCTTTGATCATATGCTTTGAAAGGAGAATATGATAGTTCTAATTTTCTGAACAGGTATTTCTTGTCAGGCCCTGTGCCCTCTATATGAACTACCTTTTAAACCTCCCAACAACAAATCAAAAATTAAACTTAAAAACTCCACTATTTCACTGATGTACAGTGTTATCACACAAGAAGCTCAAGGAGAGCTGAGATTTGATGGGATGACACAGCAGGTCTTCCAGGTGGCTGGTGCTTGTCCATCAACCCACACCCTTCAGCAACTGGGGTTTAGGTAAGGACCTCCTGTGTCTTACTGTGTGTAGCCAAGGGGCAAGTTGTTTCAATGCTCACATGTGAGAGAGAAGTTAAGTCCCCTGAAAACCAAAGCAACAATGCAGAACAGACTTCTTAGGCAAAATGAAAATGCAGGCCCTGGGGACAGCCAGACATTCCAACCAGCTCTGTCACTTCAGTGTGCCAGCTCAATGTAACTTCAGGGATTACTTGCCGTGCCGTGCTGTGCCGATGAAGCCAGACTGCTGAAAGAATCCAGTGAGGGACTTTTCTAGGGGTGGAGTAGCCCATATGGATATCCTCACTTGCAGTGTTATTCCTCCCCTGGAGCATCCGGGGCCTAGTCCCAACTTCTGAAACATGAACACTTGAGGCTCTTTTAGGACAGATCTTTTTCTCAGTGTGTCCTGAATCTGCCAGACCTAGCCACGTTTTAGGAGTATGTGTCCTGGATATTTTCCCCCTTGGCCCTGTAGGCAGGTGCTACTGCACTGTTAGCTGGGCCCAGGGTGGGCCTTAATTCTCACTCTAGGCCTGCTTTTTCTCCTGGAGAAGGGTGTGGGGAACAACCAGGACCACTTCCAGAATAAACACCCCACCCATAGGCAGCCCCAGCCCTACAGGCTCAGCAGAGCCAGCACCAACCAACGAATTGCTGGAATGTTGCTCACTGCTCACAATGCCCATAGCTCAAGGTTAATAAGTCATCTGCTCATTCCTTCTATCAATCCTTTTACCTAGGCCTTGCTCAACATGGGCTGTAGCTTCAAGAATAACAATAATAGCTACCATTTGTTTCCTATTTTCTTTCAGCCACACTGGAAGCCTTTTCCATGAGCTTTTACTGAACTTCATGCAGCCCCATAAAGGACCCTGCAGTCTGTGGTTCCACAGGTAGGGAGTGAGGCTTAGGAAGACTGCTTGGCTACAGGCAGGGGTCAGAGTTTGAGATCTGTTTATTCACTTTGAGTCCCATAGTCTCTCCAGTTTTCAACTAAAGGTCTCAAACTTACAGACATCTACCTGCTTCGAGTGCTGGCATTAAAGGTCCATGCCACCATACCTGGCTTTGGAACATAAGCCTAAAGGCTCATTTTTATTTAGTTTATGTTTATTTGTATTTTACCTATGTATGTGAATGCTTGGTGCCCCTAGAACTGGAGTTACAGATGGTTGTAATCCACCATGTGGGAATGGAACCAAGAACCTCTGCAAGAACAAGTGCTCTTAACTGCTGAGCCATCTCTTCAGCACCTATTTAATCCTTTGTTGTTGTTTTTATTTTTTTACATCCCAGCCAAAGTTTCCTCCCCTCCCCCCCATTTACTGCTTTTTTCCCCCCATTTAATTCTTAAGACAAGATTTTACAAATGCCAGGCTGGCCCAAAATTATTGTGTAGCCTAGGATGACCTTGAACTTCTGATCTTCCTGCCTCTACACCAACCTTTCCATTCTTTTTGGTGGTGCTAGGGCTGGAACTGGGCCTTGCCAATCCTAGGAAAATGCATTGCCACTGAGCTCAAGACCCATTTCTTTATGTTGTTTTGCATCTTTTATACTCTGCCACAGACTCTAAAAAGACAGGGTCTTCCTTATGCCTCTGATTTCTTTATAGACCCAACCCCATGTGTTAACTGAAGACCTGTCATTAAACTCCTATATTGTACATGACACTCTTGATGTATGTGATGAGTATGAGCAGCAATCCTGTGAAGGTATGACAGGTCACAGGTCCCCCTAGATTCAGTGATCTCCTCAAAGGCATGGGTGGGGGTTGCCTAGCTCAGAACAGACAGCAGACCTTCAACAAACTGCAAATGAGAGCTTAATAATTGGCCTGATCTAGTGTCACAGTACTCAGGAGGCAGAGGTAGGCAGATCTATGTGATTTTTTCTTTTTTTAAGATTTATTTTATTTTTTTCTATGTATAAGTGTTTTGCCTGCATGCATGTGTACCACATTAAGTGTCCTGGGTCTGTAAAGTGAGAAGAGGGCATCGGATCTACAACTTAAGTTGCAAATGTTTGTGAGCCACCATGTGGGTGCTGGGAACTGAACCCAGGTTCTCTGCAGGAGCAGGGAGTGCTGTTAATAACTGAGTCATCTCTTCAGAATTCTCTGAGTTCAATACCATCCTGGTCTACAAAATAGGTTCAGTTCAGCTAGGGCCACACAGTGAGCCCCTGTTTCAAAAAAACTAACAAACAAACAAACAAACAAAAAGTCTTAATAAGTATCTATTGAATGGATATGTCCTGAAGATATGCTCAATGCATGTTTTTCACTTTTGGCTTTGTCTTGTTTTGGATGATACTAACAAGCACTGTGCCCCTGCACTATACCCCAGTTCAATTCAAGTTTGCTAATCAAGGGTTAAGACACTATCTATTAGGGAAAACCAGTCTCCTTTTAGTCTTTGGCACACAAGGAAGCATGTCTGTTCAGAGAAGGGCTGGCTCCAAGCGAGGAAGACCCACCACCAAGAGACTAAAACCAGAGAGGAAGGGGCCCTCTTTATCTATTGTTTACCGTGAAGAATCCCAAGAAAACCCTTTGCTTCCCTACCTTTTCAGATATCTGATACCCTAGGGAGGCAGTGGGTTCAAGTATAGGCTTTGTAATCAAACCTCAGATCCATTTAGATTGCAGCCTGAATTATGCCTTCTATTAATTTATAAAACTTTGGCTATCACCAGGAGGTAGTGGTCTATCCCAGTATTCAGAAGGCGAAGGCAGAGGCAGAGGCAGAGGCAGGCGAATCTCTGTGAGTTTGAGGCCATCATGGTCTACAGAGGGAGTTCCAGGACAGTCAGGGTTACACAAAGAAACCCAGTCTTGAAAAACAAAAGCAACAAAAAACCCACTGGCTGGGCTGGAGAGATGGCTCAGTGGTTAAAAGCACTGCCTGCTATTCCAAAGGTCCTGAGTTCAATTCCCAGCAACCACATGGTGGCTCACAACCATCCGTAATGAAATCTGGTGCCCTCTTCTGGCCTGCAGGCATACATGCAGGCAGAATACTGTGTACATAATAAATAAATAAATCATTAAAAAAAAATTAAAACCCCTTTGGCTATGTTAATGTCCTTTTGTCTCAGTTTCTACCTCTGTAAAATGAGAATAATGGGTCCTGCTCTTGAAGTTGTTGGGAATATAGTGAAAATGTACAGAGAAACTGGTACAGAGAAGGAATTGGTCTAGTTGAGGATTGGGGTTTTGGGGCAGAATCTTGACTCTGAAGCCAGTCTTAAAATCCAGATTCTCGACTCCAAAGCCACAAAGAAACCCTGACTTGAAACCCACCCACTTAAAAAAAAAAAAAATCCAGACTCTCTTGGTTAGGCCTATCAACTGGGACTGTGGGCCTGAGCCACTGCTTGCCTAGTTTAGCAGTCTTCACTCTTATTTATTTTGTTTCTTTTCCTTTTTTTTTTTTTTTGAGACAGGGTCACCCTGTGTAGCCCTATTGTCCTGGGACTTGCTATGTAAACCAGGCTGGCTCCAAACACTTTTATTTTTTAAATACTGGAGATAGGACTTCACTTAGTAGCCTAGGCTGCCCTGAATTCATTAAGTAGTTCAGGCTGACCTCCAGCTTGTGATCCTCCCAAGTGCTGGAATCCAGGTTCCTTTCCTTAATCTTGTTAGTTTTGTAGGAAAGAGCCACATTTTTTAGCTCCACCCCCACCCCGCCCCCCAGTAGTTATGAGGACAACAGCTAGGTCCTGGAATTGGGCCAGGCCCACCATCTAATGGTGGTCATTAGCCAAATGAAGTGTACCTCAAAGGGCAATGGTGGCACCAGCCTTTAATCTCAGCACTTGGGAGGCAGAGGCAGGTGGATCTCTGTGAGTTTGAGGCCAGCCTGTTCTACAGAGCGAGTTCTAGGCCAGCCAGGGCTGTTTCACAGGAAACCTTGTCTGGAAAAAACAACAAACAAACAAACAAAAAACAAAACCAAAAACAAAGTGTACCTCCATGTCTCCAGATCCTCAGGATCCTGGGTCTGAGTTCTCCCTGGGGGCAAAACAAAGAAAAATAAATTCTGAAGGTTAAGTTTCTTAGGGCCAAGTCTCCCCCAGCTAGGGTTGTTGGCTTTTTGTCCCTACAGTGTCTAGTGTCCTACAAGTGCTTAATACTTCTTTCTGGTATCAGGAATCGAACCCAGGAACATTCGCTGTACTACTGAGCTATATCCCTAGATCATATATATATATATATTAAATTAAGATTTATGCCAGCCAACCAGTTTTGCACTACCAGTGTCTCCAGACTGCAGTCAGCCTGGCTGAGATACACGCTGGGACTAGGCTAACAGAAGAGGGAATCACAGATTCAAGATGCCGGGAGGGGGCGCTTTGCAGCCCTTCACCTCTTGTGATGCTCTGCTAGGGAAATGATCCAGAGAGTCGGCCCTTAACAGCCCCCTCCTGGAAAGCTTTAGGTCCCGGAGCTGGCCTTCCCCGGGTCCATCTGCCAGCTAATGTTTAACCGGGCAGCACTGTGACATTATCCACACATGAGAAACGGGGTGGGAGGGGAGCAACCTTATCCCTGCCTCATGGCTTTTGCTCATAGTGAACTGTCCCTTCCTAAATTCCTTTCATGTACTGAAAAATCATAAGCGCCTAATATGTGTCTTCCTTCAAAACGTAAGGAGCAACCATCATGACTACATAATCAGTTAAGAATACTGACTACATGCCCATTTGTTCACCACTTCAGGCGCACCAATTATGTGCCTACCTGTGCACCAGATCAGGAGAGTGTGCCAAGAGCAGTACCTGGTGATGGGGATGCTCTGTGATCAAGACACACGACTTGATGTGGCTCTGGCACAGACCGCAGCATCAAATGCCCAAATGAAAACAGAAATCCAAATCGGAGTCAGTCCTTCACTTACTGGGAATGCTGATCTGAAGTGCCTTTTCGTTTCCGGCTTCGGATCAGGAGGACTGTCTGTCGTTTTGAACCCAGATTTGTCACCAGAGAGAAGATAGGTAAGAAGATACTAGGCGCGGACTCAGGAATCGCCCAAAGAAAACACTCAAGAACGCAAGCCCAAGCTTCCCAGGAGAAGGTGGAAAACAGCTTAGCTGCCATGTGCAAGCGTCACTGACTTGCATCCACTTCTCAGTGACCAACTCATTGAACTTACTGACCCTGAGTGCGGTGACCCCTGCGGTGTGCTCAGGCGGGGGGGGGGGGGGGGGATCCCAGGTTGTCCCGGCTGCTGTCACCAAGATACCGGAATCCTGGATTGGTGGGGGCCAGGCCTTGTGTTTATTGCACCAGGAGGGGAACTGAGGATGAAGATAAGGCAGAGCTGGAAGTGCGGAGCGTGGCCTCGAACCTGTCAGAATCAGAAAAGGCCTCTGCCTGAGCATTCCTGGAACTGGGCTGGGCGGGGAATCAGAGCCTTGT